GAATGCTATTCTTTAAAGAAGAAAAAAACTAAATTCAAAAGAAACCATAAAAAAACCCCAGAACATAAAAAACCTAAAGAGACCCTCTCCTGAGCCATCTCAAAATTGAAATTGTTCTCTTTTTCTTCTGCTCAAGAAGTGCAGGCAATGAACTAATAAAAACATTTACTTTTCAATTTAATGACCCTCTCCATATTCTCTACTTATATCTACTAGGTAGAGTTGAAGTAAATGTTCTGGCTATAGCCCATCCAGGGGGAACTGGTGCCAACATCATTATTTTTAAGTCGCCTGCTAGTAGCAAGTGAGCAAGGAATACAACGGATAGCTTTGCAGTAGCCAAATGCAGATGATTACCTCGCTCTGGCAAATGATTTCTTTAAAGGTTCAGAGGACTGGATGGAAGAATGGATAGGGAAGGACTCTTTCAGGACACTGAAGTCTCTGGGTTAGTAAGGAACTCCTCTCCCTCTTCCCCCTCTTGGAGGGACTCTTGTAGGCCCCCTATAGAGTTTTCCATAAGCAGAAGACTGAGCTGGGGACCCCCAGTTAAGGCCTGCTCCTGAGCTGCTGGCCCCAGTGGTTCCCGGCCCCAGCTCCCCATAGTTTTGCAATTTGGTCTCTGCATGTACCACAGAGTTGCTGCTTCCCTCAGCCTTCAGAAATGGTTGCCCGACCACTGAGTGTAATGCTAAGGGGACCCTGGCAAAACGGAGGTCCTGGTCCCCTGGGAACTGCACTGACCCTGTGCCCTGGTAACTGCTGGACTCCCCAAGGTGGCTCACAGAGCCTGAGAAGGTCCTGTTCTTCACCAGGGTCTGGGCCAAGGATTCTGTCAAGGCTGGACCAGAGTCGCGTTCATCAGTGTCAGTGGCACTGAACCCTGTTTCAGGCCCATCAGTGTTTCCATAAGTCCTGTTGGGATGGGGTCGGGTGGAGTATTCCATTGATCTCAAGGCCTGGTGCTCATGTGGCAGGTGGCCAGAAGGCTCTGCTTCAGGCTGGGTTAAAAGTTGCAGCAAGGCGGCTGTCACGGCTGGGTTCAACTCCTGGGGGGCGCTGGAAAGATCGCCTTCAACCAGAGGGGGTGGAGGTGGCGGCGGTGGAGGTCCGGGGGGCTCAGGGGGCCTCTTCTCTGGTGGAAGAATGTGAGGAGGACATGCTGTGGAAGGGTTACTTCTTTTAAACACCATCTTAAAAATCACATGTGATTATAAACACAAACGCGCACACACACACTGCCCAACAAAAACAAATATCAGTACAAGTAACCAAATATATATAAAGAATAAAATCTTGGGATCAGGAAATGGCAATTTATAAATAAAACCAAGTGATTAATAAAAGTAAAACAGTTGTATTCTGCATCTAACAGCTGGTGTAAAAAGATCATATGTTTCAAACGATTGTCCTGATTTTCGTCTGAGATTTCCTCCATTTCCTTCCTTAAGGAACTGTTCTAATATGTAGGCTGTTGGCAGCCTCCCCTCCCCTTTTTGCTGTTGGATCAAAACATTAATGAAAATAAAGTATAAAGAAGGAAGATGAGAGTGAACGATACACAAGCTGTCATCACATTTCTAGGACATAATCTTGCTGTACAATAGGAGACCTTGCATGGACTTAGCTAACACGTTTTACAGAATGTTTAACACCTGAAATAGAACTTAAATAATATACAGGAGAGATGAAATAAAGTAAAAACCTTTCATTACCGTCATGTATAAATACACACTTGCTTCTCCAAACTTCAGTCCCCTCTCCCTGTAATCACATTCTGAAGAAAGGGATATTAACCACCATACTGTCATTCAGCTTCCTACGTTACAGTAATTATAAAGACTAAAGTAATCTATCATAATTTTCTATGTTGTTTTCCAACCTCTTGCATTTTTTCCATGCTATGAAAAAAAATGACTATAGCAATGTCATGCAGAATGGGATGGGATAAACATCTGTTTATCTTGGAGACAGTCACAAGAAGTGAGTATTTAGAAATGTATGAAATACTATACTCTGTCTTTCCAAAGATCTTTGTCTTTTTTGAACCACTCCCCAGACATTTTTTCCCCCACTGCTGGCTAAATTTGCCTAAGCATGGCAATCATTGTCTGATAATGAACAAGTGCCAAGGCAGGAGAGTAGAGATGTAAAATGGTGTAAGTTTGAGGACATACAAAATCAAGTACAGCCAGAACAGTGCCTTTAGAGTTGGGAGTCACCCTGCCGAAGAAAAGGTTTAATGTTTTGGGATATCTTCCAAATGAACCATTTTTCTGTTCCCTGTGGAAGCATATTTTTAAATGTCCATATAGTCAATTCTTTATTATTGAGCTGGTGATATAAAGTCATTACTCAGACAAGCCAAAAATAGTTTTTAGTTATAATTAGATATTTTGATAGCATATTTACCACAATTATATTTTACAAAGACAATCAGTAAAGTAAGTATGCATTCCCTTGGCGTGCAGATGAAAGCACTCTGAAAACACTACAAAATTGTAAAGTTGTGCAGTGGAAGGATGAGGTGCTATATGTAACATAGAAGTAGAGTGACCAACAGTCCCAATTTGCCCAGGACTGAAGGGGTTCCCAAGTTGCCAACTTGCAGTTTTAAAATCAAGACAGTACAGGGACAAGCTGGTCACCCTATATAAAGTACCCACCCAAGTTACTTGTTGACAGATTGGCTGGTTGACTAGGTGATAAGGAAAAATGAATTTAAGGACAAAAAACTAGCTAAGGAAAACTCACAACTTGAAAGCAGACATCCTGAAAAAGGAGAGCTAACTGGACTTAAACGTCTACAGATTTCAGAGCTTTTTACTGTCAATACTACATATCTCACTACATAAGAACATCACAGTACCAATTATTTTTAAAAGTATTTTTTGGACTACACATGAAATGGAACAGGAGGGTTTTTTTTTTTTTAATACTGAGGGCAAACAACTTTAAAAATGCCTAACTGCAAAAGTGGGCAAAGCTGAACTTACATTCTTCCAACTATACGACTTTTCATATCTAAACTTTGCCTTTTAGGTAAATAGCCTAGTTTGTGTTTCAAAAGAACTACTTCTTGAGCTCAAATTCTTTCACATGTATGAGAGGATGAAAACTATTTCAAAGTAGGAAAAGCAGATGGACTGTAAAGAACTATTAAAGAAAGGTTAATAAAATTTCTTAAAGGAACTAAAAATAAAGATCACACTGAAAAAAATCATACTGTTATAAGATTTAAAGTGTTAACAATATTGCCAATCCTTAACAGTCTATACTAATAGAGGGAGGTATTAATGAAACGTACAAATAACTTAAAAACTTAATTTGACTCAGATTTCAACCATAACCCTTTCCCAACAAATAGAGAGTAGAACAGTAGCCAAAGTGATAGATTTTCACCTTCTCTTATTCAGTCTGCCCTCTGGTGGAAGTGCTAATGAACAGTAAAATGGCCAAATAAAAGGCAGCAGGGGAGAAACAAGAACAGGAGAGATATGGGAGAGCCACCAACTGGATAATCCAGGGGTGACTGTAATAATTAGGAGTGGCATTTTTACTCTCCTCTGAAAAGTCAATCCAACAATTTCTGACCATCTGCCAGGCCTTAATTTTCGTTCAATTTCACCATTTGACTGACAGCTTGTTGGCTCAAGTACCGGGTGAATTTCTTTCAATCACTATGCTACTTAATTTGAACCACCTCTTTTAGGTATTTTTAATTATAGCTGAATTTTTTTTTGGGGGGGTGGTGTGAGAGATGAGACAAAGAGGCCTGCTTTAGTTCTAGATTAGCTTTCTCCATTATTCCATGTCCCAGAGTCTCTTAAAACAATTGCAATAAGTATGACAAAGTAGCAAAATGCACTAGGAACACATTAAAAAGAAACACACTAAGAAACTACAGGAGTTCTAGTTCTGCCTCTGCCAATAATATGGTTTCAGCAGTGGGACCACAGGCAGACTTATTTAAACTCCCTGGATTGCAGTTTCCCTATCTGTAAAGGGGATAATTTTATTTGTTATCTTCCAGTTTTAAAAAGCTAGACATATGAAAAATAACTTATATATTTGACCCTATACCAGTGGACATAAGGCATATACTTTCTGCACCAACCCATATGAAATGTGAATGCAGGACCCTAAAGTTGAAGAGGTTAGTGTACCTCGTCAGCCCTTGTGCTTCTTTTCATTCCCCAATTCATGGGGTCTTCACGGATAGCGAAAATTTCCAAGGAGTTGAAAACACTTTCAGATAAGTAAAGATTTCACAAACAGACTGTGAATCAGAATTGATTAGAAAATTTAAACTTCTTTTTCCTCTAATAAATTGCAAACTGTGGTAATGTGAGATCAAGGTACAACATATTTCCTTTTTTCTTTATATAATGGTCATTTACTAATCTGGGGTCCATTCAATTATCTCTTTCAGGAATACAGATTTAAAGAAATCATTTTTATATGCTATTATTTTTTGGAAAGGAAATGTATGGTATTATCTACTTAGAAATATTTCCAAATTATTCTTCAGGAAATTAACAACGATCTTTTATTAGGTTTTTCTTGACTGTATCTTTCAGGCAAGACTCTGGTATCTAGCATCCACTACACTAGAGTACAACTAACTATTTGTACAATCTGTTTGTTTGGAAGGCAGATTTTCAAGTGCTAGTACTAGCTGCCACCATACACACAGTGGTTCAAAATGCATCCACTAGCTATGACTGTGGTTTCCGTGCGTTAGAACACAGGGGCTTTACTTACCTACCTCCTAGGAAATGGAAAAACAATCAGTATATGAAAGGTGCTTTGAGAAGCTTTGAGACTTAAATAAAAGAAACCGGGCAAGAAATACATCACTTGGTGCTATGGTCTCCTGTAGACTAGGTTACAGAAAAACTGAAACCAAGGCCATTGATGTGAAAAAGAAAATGTTAAAGAGATTTTTAAGAGGATCAACAGCACCTGAGCTCAATGAGATTCATGACCGGTCTGTTTACCTGCTGCCTCCTCCTGTGGCATTGTGGGAGTTCTTCGGGGCCCCTGTGACCCACTGTTCTTGTCACTGTTGTTTTCCTCCAGGCTGCCTGATGGCTCCTGGGTTTTCATCAGCTGACTCAAAAGAACTGCCAACATATTCTGCATGTCAGCTGGTGTGCTTGAAGTTTCAGGGGTCGTCTGTTCTGCTGAAGGCTGAACCACTGGGGCAGGGGGTGCCTCCTTCAAAGACTCTTCTAGGGCCACAGGCTCTGAATTCTGCTGCTGGGAAGCTTCTGTTAGGGCACTGATGGATTGGTTCAGGGCCTCCAGCTGCTGCTGTATCTCTGGGTTGGAGTGGATGTTAAGCAGCTGAGCCATTTGAGGGATGCTCAGGTCAGTTTGGCTCTGCAGCAGGTTCAATAACACTGCCAATTCACTTTGATTCAACTGCTGTGTGATGTCACCAAGGCCTGTGGAGACAATGAACCCAATATAAGAGAATGAGGCAGGGCAAGAACCTTTGCCTTCTTCAACTGGCAACAGCAACTTATAATACCCAATGAATGAAGTTTCATTTTGAATGTCTCATTTTTCATGTCTCAAATAGTCATGACAGTTTGCTATTTTTTATATTTTTGCTTAAAAATACAGGGACTGGGGCCGGCCCCACAGCGTAGCGGTTAAGTGCGCGCGCTCCGCTGCTGGAGGCCCGGGTTTGGATCCTGGGCGCGCACCAATGCACCGCTTGGCAAGCCATGCTGTGGCGGCGTCCCTAGAGGAAGATGGGCACGGATGTTAGCTCAGGGCCAGTCTTCCTCAGCAAAAAGAGGAGGATTGGCATGGATGTTAGCTCACAGCTGATCTTCCCCACACACACACACAAAAAAAAAATACAGGGACTAACTAAAACATCTCTGTATTGTGAGTAAACATGATTTCATTTTACCCATATTCTTCAAGGTCAGTGATTTTCAACCCTTACTGTACATGAGAATTACTAAGAGAGACTTTAAAATTCAGATGCCTCAGGCCTCATCCCTAGAGATCTGGCAATTGTTTGGGGGTGTTTATTTTTAAAGCTTCCTAGATGATTCTAATGCACAGCCAGCACTGAGAACCAAAGAAAGAATACTTGTAGTTCAGAAAATTTGGTGGTATTATAGCACAACTATTTTGTTATAACGGTTCATTATTACACAGGTTTGGACATACTTAGATCAAATAACAGTCTATGGAACTAACTACATTTACCAATTGTGATTTAACATGATTAGATTCTAAGAAGGTCTTATCAAATCTAACATAAACAGGGCTCCAAATTACATGTGTTAGAAAGCCATAGGTGAAATAACCCTAAAATAAATTTGGCTTACCTAATTCACTGATTTATGCCACACATCTAATTGAGATACAGTGTTCCTTATTTCAGGAAAGGAAAATAATCTATTGTAGACTTTCTAGACCACTTATACAAAACTTGGTTTATCTCCTTCTCCCCATAACGAAGACACCAACTTCTTTATTAATGCTTCAGTAGCTAAAAACTAAAAGACACACACACACAAATCCTTGCATTTGACCTTCAAAACCTGCAAAAATGTGCTTAATAAAAACACAAAGGCTCCATCCCAGCACTGACCTATTGCATCCCCAGCCCCAGGCTCCACTTTGGCAGGAGGAGGCTGAGGTGGTGCTGGACTGCTGTTCTTCACAGGCTCAGCACTTGTCCCTGAGGTCGTCTCTTTTCGAGAGGCTTTGGATGGAGGTGGCTCTTCTACCACAACACCACTTTGTCGCTGCCGTCGCCGTTTCTTACTCCATAATTCATGGCAATCCTGCCAGTGCGGGAGGCTGGAAAAAGACAAAGCAAAAGAGAAATGTGTGTGGGAATGCAGTAGTGAGTGAATGGAGGAACAAGAGATTAAAATGGTAAGGCAAAGGGGCCAGCCCCGTGGCGTAGCAGTTAAGTGCATGCGCTCCGCTGCCGGCAGCCCGGGTTCAGATCCCGGGCACGCACTGATGCACTGCTTGTCAGGCCATGGTGTGGCGGTGTCCCATATAAAGTGGAGGAAGATGGACACAGATGTTAGCCCAGGGCCAGTCTTCCTCAGCAAAAAGAGGAGGATTGGCATGGATGTTAGTTCAGGGCTGATCTTTCTCACAAAAAAAATAATAAATAAAATAAAATGGTAAGGCAAAGAACAGCAGGAAATGGAAAGGATAAGGAAAACAGAAAAATAACCAGCAAAGTTAGTAAATGGATTAGTAGCATTATAAAAGGAATCATGGCATATGGTAGTCTGAGGAAACAAAAGTCCAAAAGAGTTCTACAGTGAGAAATAAGGATCTTGCTAATACCAGAGACAGACCTGCTATATAAATGTCACATTCCAGCCAAATAGTTAAGTCTCATAACTGTTCTTGCTTGGCGTAACAAGAATAAAGAACTTTATTGGTCAAGTTCAGTTGGGAATAAATAGGACAGAGATGAATGGCTCGTTAATATCAACAAAAAGTCCAGGCAAGGTGGTGATCTAAATCTTGGAACCACATAAGTATATCATGATTAAACCACCTCTGTGTAAAATCAATTTATGTGTTATTTGGTCTGTGAGAACCAAAACACTGGTTCTTGGGGGCTGGCCCAGTGGCGCAGCAGTTAAGTTTGCGCGTTCTGCTTCGGCAGCCCAGGGTTTGCCGGTTTGGATCCTGGGCGTAAACCTACTCACCGCTCATCAAGCCATGCTGAGGCGGGGTCCCACAGAGAAGAACTAGAAGGACCTACAACTAGGATTATACAACTATCTACTGGGGCTTTGGGGAGAAAGGGGAAAAAGAGGAAGATTGGCAACAGATGTTAGCTCAGGGCCAATCTTCCTCAAAAAAAAAAAAAAATTGGTTCTTTTTTCTTTCTGCCCACCAAATTTCCATGACTGGATATTTTCATTGGTGGATTTATTAGTATATTTTAATATATTTAATATATTTCCAGACTTCCTCACACTCAATAATGCAAACAGTCCTAGTAGGTCAAATCTTCCTACAATAAAGATTACCATAGCCAAAATCTTTCTATAACAACAGTTCCCAAATTTCAGTAAAAAGCTTATGTATTTCAAGCCACATTCAATGTATCAAAATTCTAGTGCAGTAAATGAATTTGGACATTTCTTTGGAATAATCAGATCTGTAGTTACTACCTACTCATGTACTAACATCCTATCCATTTCTTTAAGATACAGTCTTTTTGTAAGAAACACCCAAAAACTCTGACATGAAAGCTATAATGTTGTCAGTGACAAATTCAAAGATAAAAGACTTTTTATCTGCCAGAATGTGAGATGTGAGTGTAGAACATCTGAGGATCCTCTAGAATACAGGAAATTCATAAGATTCTGATGAAAAAGAGATGCATTCAAAGACCATATTTTCTACAGCAAAATTCAGGACATATGACATGACAGTGAAGCAAACTATTAAAATCAGGACCGTCCTTGCAAATGTGGGATGTACATGGTCACCCCAGACATGGGATTCAAGCAGAGGGAATAGTTAAGAGCAAAAACTAGAAGGAATACTTTCAAAGAGGTTATATAGGGCAATAAGGCTGGGGATGCAGGAATAAAAGATGATAGATTGAGTCAAATTAGAACAAATATACTACTCTATTCCTTGTTTAAAAATAAAACATAAAGCAACAAAACAAACCTCTTATCAACACTAATACTCAAGAACATCACTCCATTTAGCACTTGGCCACTTGCAGTTCCTTTAAAAAACCTATTATTTTGTGTTTCTCATCTCCTGAGGCCTAGAGGGAGGTTCAGGGTCACTATATGGCCACCAGCACTTACTCTGGAGGATCCATTTTGCTGAGCTCGACATCTTTAAGGAAATCACTCTGTAGGGTCTGTTCAGCTGTGCAACGTTTGCTAGGGTCTAGTGTCAGCATGTGGTCCAGTAAATCAAGTGCTGCTGAAGGAATGCTGTGGAGAGAGAGAATGAACAAGTTCACAATGACCCCACAGTTCTTAAACCTGTAACCTGTGTCAAAGGTCTCTGGATATCCAGCTCCACAAAAAACTGTGGAAAGGGAGTTGGAAGCTGGCTAAACAGCCAAGCAAATTTGCTTCCACAAAGGATTTAAGAAATGTTATAATAAAGGTAGAAAACGTGAAGCCAGCAGTTCTCTTTTTGTCTTGAGAAGACCAAAAGGACTGTAAGAAAATTTATATATTGTTCAAAATAAAATGGTTTTCTATCATCCAAAGCCTTCAGAAGAGAACATTACAAAAGGACTATGGGGGCCAGCCCCGTGGCGTAGCAGTTAAGTGCGTGTGCTCTGCTGCTGGCAGCCTGGGTTCGGATCCCGGGCGCGCACCGATGCACTGCTTGTCAGGCCATGCTGTGGCGGCGTCCCATATCAAGTAGAGGAAGATGGGCACTGATGTTAGCCAGGGCCAATCTTCCTCAGCAACAAGAGGAGGATTGGCACAGATGTTAGCTCAGGGCTGATCTTCCTCACCAAAAAAAACAAAAGGACTATAATAAAACTCATATATCGTTCAAAAATAAAATGTTTTCCTATGATGTGTTGCCATAATAAACTGGGACAACACTAACTCCCTAGGCTAGGAAAAAGTCAAGTCCAAACACTAGCCAAACACAGAAACTAGATGTACATTTTTGCCAAACTCACAAAGAGAATTCTTCTCGTAGACGCCTTCTATATTGCTTCTTCGGTTTCATGGTATTGAAGTAGGGCAGCTTGATAACATCAGGCCACACAGCTGGACAAGGGCTACCACAGAGTCGACTGAAAACAAAACAAAAAGCAAGAACAAGGAAGTAAGTGAGTCAGCATTATGAATTTCTGGGGGTTCTAGAAGCAGAAATTATTGCCTCCTGGGGTCTGGGGAATCTTGGCTTATTAAATTAGAGGGCATGCAGGAAGATAAAAGCTGAGCTCACTGCTTTAACGACAGAAGGACTGGGACAGAAAGAACCGGTTACAAGACAGTTAACAGAAAATACTGGCACAATAGTCCAAAATGATCCACATATTTGGTTTTGTATAACATGTTTTGAATCCTCCACATAGGTTTGCATTACCAATTTTGTTCTGTTCAGTTAGTATTAATTTCAAAGTGCTGAGCTGGTCCTTTAATGTCCCTATAGGGAAAACTGGCAGAAGAGAGCCTAAGACTGGAAATTTTGATAGAAAATTGAGTTTACTGCATAACAAACAATGAGTTATATACCACCTTTAAAAAAAGTCTACATTAGCCTGTTGTAGTCTTCCCTTTAATCTTATTGAAAAAAAAACCCCCCAAATTCCATTCCAACCACAGGCCTTCCCGAAATCCTCTATTATAGGTTCTATTTTATAATTATCTGTTTTGGGCCGGCCCCGTGGCTTGGTGGTTGGGTGAGCGCGCTCCACTGCTGGCGACCCGGGTTCGGATCCCGGGCTCGCACCGACGCGCTGCTTCTCCGGCCATGCTGAGGCCACGTCCCACATGCAGCAACTAGAAGGATGTGCAGCTGTGACACACAACTATCTACTGGGGCTTTGGGGGGAAAAATAAATAAATAAAATCTAAAATCTTATAATTATCTGTTTACATGCTGTATCACTTACTAAACTCTGAGCTCTTTGACGGCAGGGACCTATTTTATATACCTCTGAATCCTGAAGTGTAACAGAGAAAGGAATCTGTTACAGAACAGGTTCAATAAATGCTTGCTGAATAAATCTGACCTTAATATAACCTAAGAATGGAACTATCCTGAAAACAGCATGCTTTTATATGGAGAAGTAATAAAAAAATATGCAAAGTAAGACATAAAAAGTAGGCGGAATACAACTTCTTTACACATACAGCCCATGACAAAACACATGGTAAACCTGATTGAGTGAAGAGAAACTTACTTGGACATAAGGAGCATAAAATCATTTAGGAGACTGACTGAAAAGTGTTAGAAGTTAGAAGATGAGATTACATATCACACCTGGGCACTGAGAGCACATGCACAGCTGTACCTGATCAGTTCTAGCTGAGCCAGTTCCAGATTGGCTTGAAAAATAGGCTTCTTGGTGAACAGTTCCCCAAGGATGCATCTAGAAAGAGTAACATTGAGAGGTCAGGAGAGAAATCCCTGGATCCTATTTAAAGTGTGTCTCAATAAACTTTTATAGTATATTTGGCTGCATCCCATAGCCCACGTTGTAAATTAGCCCAAAACTGCAGTGTCTGAGTTTTGTAAAAGAAAATGTTTCTTGCAGTGAAAATAAACAGTGCTGTATAAAGGAGTTAATTAAATTTGCCAGTAGATCAAACATTTACCACCTATAAAGGACAGTCTATAAGCAGAGAAAAGGAGTCAACAATCTTTTTTTTGTCAATTCCAATGAAAATTAAAGGAAATAAAGACTAAAAAAAAAACCTGACACTTCAATTTTATAAGAATGCTCAGCAGTTCCTATAAAGAGAATATTAGCTTTTTTCATTCATCTGCTCTGTAGAAAGTGTACTATACCATAGCCCTTTTGGCACTGTACTTGTAAAGAAAAGTTTATTGTCATTAACCAGGGTCAGTTTCAACAGGACTTTCAAATACATTATGCCTAAACATCTTTACATTTTGAAAAGGTCTTTCAAAACTATATTGATATATTTACATAGTCTCCAAGATCTCTGCACAGATTATTTATTAATTACAAAAGGAAAACTAGTAACTATTTAGTGGAGAAAAAAGACAACACCTTGACCAAGAGACCAAAATTAACATCAATAAGAGGCAAATAGGGTTCAAGGAAGTACAAATGTAATACCTTGAAAAGAACACTTATGGAGTATTCCAGCCAAAAATTCATAACTTGAACCTTTATAGTAACTGGTCTGTATTCTTCAAAAATATAAATGTTATGAAAGGCTAGGGAACTGTTCCAGATTAAAGAATGACAACTAAATGTAATATATAATACTGGATTGGATGCTTTATCAGGTGAGTTATTGTTTCCAGGACATTACTAGGGTACTAACAAAATTAGTATACGGAATGTAGGCTAAAGTACTCTATTAAATAAAGATAGTGTGTCAACGTTAAATTTCCTGAATTTGATCATTGTACTGTGATTATATAAGAGAATATCTTCGTTCTTAGGAAATGCACATTAAATATTAGAGGGAAAGAAGCATGATATATACAACTACTTTCAAATAGTTCTGGAAAAAAATATGTGATAAATATATAAACACACACATTTTACTCCATGTATATATTGCATGTTGTATGATAACCATATGCACATATACATATATTCATATAAAATTATATGAATATAAAATATATATGACTACAAAGGAGCACAGGGAAACTTTTGGAGGTGATCATTACCTTGGTTGTGGTGATGGTTTCACTGGTGTATACAATATGTCAAAACTTAATTTAAATATATGCAGTTTATTGTATACCTCAATTTTAAGGTTAAAAAAATTCAGTTAACCTGGATAAAGGTTAAGTTCTTTGTACTATTCTAGTAACTTTTCTGTACACTTCAGATTATTTCAAAATAAATTTAAAACAAAAAAATTACATGAATGCTCTATACTTTTTCATATGCCTGATATATTTTATTTTTTGAAAAGTGGGAAAAGAAAAAAATGGACAATGAATCTCTTCTCTGGCCTGTGCTTTGAAATGAGATTTACTTACAAATACAAAATCAGTGTTTATATAGTTTTACTTTGAAATTCTGTAGTTTGTCTAAATTTGAGAAAGCAAAACAAACCTAGCTTTTAAAGTTATTAGCACCTTTCTATTAGCATTTGTTACCCTGAAATGATAAATTCTTACTTCCATTATTCTCTTAAACCTTATCCAGAAATAAAAAAGTAAAAAGTAAAATTTAATCCAACATTAACTGCCAAATCAAATTCCAAATATAGTGTTGTCACAACTGGTAAAATAAGAGGTAGAAAAAAACCAACCAACCAACCAACCCACGTGGGCTTTCAAACTCTACGTATAATTTGTTGTACTAGTCTGTCTAGTGTCTCCCTTGATTTTCAAACTGATTTTCAAACTGAATGAGCAGTTTTAACCATCAATTTTCTATAAAGAACATACCACAAAAATATCTTCAGAGGGACTACCACGGATCACCAAATTAGCAAGCTCACATCAAAAGTCAAACAAAATCTCAACTCAATGAGTCACTGGGCTTTAAAGAAGGTCTAATTTTCTATAATTTTGATTTCCAATTGTGTTTTTGTGTTTTCTTTTATTTCAATTTCCACTCCTTTGGTAGGGAAGACATCACTATGTAATCAACACTTTGCTACTGCACTGAGGTGGCAGGTTGCACAGACTAAAATAATAATACCAACAGAGCTATGAACTTTCCCTGTGCGTCTTAATGGGGCATTAACTTTAGAGCCTAGTTGTGACAATTTAAATGCTAATACTGTTAAAGCCAATAGTCCAGAACACACATACCCAGCTTGAGTCAGTAAAATTTAACTAAAGCTGCATTTGAGTAGGGTAGGCCACCACAGAAAATATGCTCTTTCTCCATCACTCTTTTGAATTTTGAAATAAAACCCCTGGGGGCGGCCCTATGGCTTAGCGGTTAAGTGCGCGCGCTCCGCTACTGGCGGCCCGAGTTCAGATCCCGGGCTGCGCACCGATGCACCACTTCTCCGGCCATGCTGAGGCCGCACCCCACATACAGCAACTAGAAGGATGTGCAACTATGACATAAAACTATCTACTGGGGCTTTGGGGAAAAAAAAGGAGGAGGATTGGCAATAGATGTTAGCTCAGAGC